TAATGAGTAATAAATTAATGTTACAAAAAATGATAAACGCGAAGTTGATTCTTCCGCAATGGCAATTGTCTATGAATAAATTCTATTTACTAAGCATTAATGTGGTATAACAATAGCATTGTTTTTAGATAAAATGTGAATAAAAAAGTGAATTATTTTAAGAAATACATTAAGGAAAATTTGAAGTGGATATCTACTATTTAATATTTGTAGGTATTTAAAAAATTGATTTGTATTTAGACTTTAAAAGAATTGACCATTCTTTATTGTTATAAATAACAATTTTATCTTTTTGTTTTAGAGAGAGAGAAAGAGAGTAAAAAGAAATAAACTAAAAATAACTTACTTATTTTTAGACTGTAAAATAAATATATCATTATTTTCAGGCGAAAAAAGTTTATGGGAAAATACTGCAATTGATTACTAAATAACGTTTGGAATCTTTTGACTAATCTACTGTAGATTAAAACATATCCGCGAACATTAAATCTATTACTGATACAAGTAAAGAAATCTGAACTGCGTCGGAATCAATTTTTGCATTATACTTGCGCAGAAGTATTACGGTTCTATAAATATTACTCGCAATGTCATTAAATAAGAGAAAGCTGTTGATACGTACTGAAATATACAAAATAAGAACATTAGTATTTTTTCGCTTTAATATGGAAGATATATAAATAATAACAAAATTTTTTACAAAAATTGTCAAAGATTTATGACTTAAAATAATATTTATACATTTTTAAGATAGTTTTAAGAAAACGTAATATATCTGCATGTGTTGATTTTTGTTTCTGATTTACTAGAAAGTCTATTATTTAACAAAATATGAAAATGAGTTATTGAATTAAAGTTATCAAAATCTTTCCATATTATTAAAATCTTTTCATATTATATAAATTATGTAAGAACAATATTTTAGTTGTTGAGATTTTACCGATGCATAATAATTTAATGATAAAACTGGTAACATAGAGGAAACTGAGATTATTTAATATATATATATACACATACATAATGTATCCGAATTTACATTTAGTTCCGTTATTTAAACTATACCGATATTCCCTTCTGATGCAACTTACCGCGTCCATCAAGTAATCGGCTGGCCAAGCACACGCGTAAACTTCCATAAATCCAGCTATACACAGAATTATGAAATGTGTTTTGTCCACTAATTCGCTTTCCTACACATATAATAATATACATATAAACTATTGGTATTTGACTTCTGAACAAGATAAATGATAGACTTCTTTGAAAAGTTGTGTCCTTATTGTACCACAGTGATTCATATACTGCGTTCGCAACATTTGTGCTCTAGTAAATAATATGCAAATTTTAGAATAATATTAAGATTAACATTAATCATTAAAAAGTTAATATTATAAATCAATTACGACAAAAAGATGTCACTTATATGAAAAATATCACATAATATATAAATTATAAATAAGTTATATAAATATACAAGTATAGCACGAATATAACGTATAGAAATGAGAGAGTAATATATATAATGTGATATGTGTTAATTTAATATACACGTACAAAATATAAACTACATATAATCTTGTAATCATGTAGAGTGTATCGTGAGCAAAGTCGATACGATAATAAACAACAACTACTTACGCTTACAATTATTAAACCACCAGCTACAATCGAACATGTACAAATAATTATTATCGCTAATATTGCTGAACGGACGGCAGTTATTACCTCTTGAGCAAACCTAAAATAATTTGTTGCTTATTGCTACCATTATTAATTGCATTATTAGTGGCTTACACGTCAATGCATTTTATTTTTTTTTTCGATAAGACCGCTATAATTATATCATCACGCACATGTGATATTGAGATTCGATTATTGTATACATATTACCTTTCTAATTTATCACTTAGTTTAGTCTTAGTTAATCATTGACTCTATTCACATAGTATCGCGTGATATTATCTTCGAATTTAGAATTTTTCGATCATTTTGCCGTACGATTTCGAATTTGTAATTGACACGTTATCCTTATTATCTTTATTATCGTCGCAAGAGAATGCCGTTCAAAATATGTCAGTTTTCAACATATTTATATTGGTTGATTGTAATTTACGGTAATTTTCGCGAGTGAGTGCAACGTGTAAATATCGTATGTGAGTGCAATAAATCCTGGCAATTCGAAAGGAGAAAGCCTAGGAGGCATCGGGCAATGGCAGAGCAACATTGGAATAAATAATTTATGGTTTATATATTATTTCTCATTAATTGTGCACACGTGTCCATTCTTTATTTATTTATATGATTTAAATAAGAATTAGAAAAAAAGATAATTTTTATATATCTTATAAAAGTTTTATACTTAATAAGAATAATTAAATATAAAGATCAAGGAAGTTGAAATAGAACAGAAAAATATTATTTTATTACCTTAACAGTTTTATATGTTGTCGTATACCTGTGATGATATCGTAAATACCGGTGACCCTTCGAAATTGATGCGACAAGATTTCGAAACGAGCCGTAGTAAACCATATAAAAAGACCGATAAGAGAACTGTGACAAACATTCGAAAAGGTCTGCCAAACAACGATGGATTGATGCAGAAAGACAATAGTCTTCATTGGTTCATGTTTAACGTCGAAAGGATACTTTGTTTCTACAGGTAAGATCTGATCTGGCATTATCAACGGCGCTATTATTGTTGCAAGAGCGGTGAAGAAAACCGCCACGGTAGAGCCTGCATAAAACACTTTACACTTGTCGACGTATCGTTGATAAATTTCTTTCTCGTATGCTTCTGCGTATTTGAAATTATGCTCCATTTCCGAGATCAAATACTGAAATTTAATTCGACATTTCGACTAGAATACATAAAATGTACAGTTTTTGTAAAGCTTTGTGATTAATAACGTTATATAGTGTGTTAAATACAATATTTAATCTATTTTAATACAAAGTTGCATAAAATAGATCGAAAAATGCTTATCTAAAATTAATTCATTATCACTTTGGTATTTTTTACTTGCAATCGATCATATTGCAGCGCGAAAATTAATATTTCCCAAGGGACTTGTATAAAGGCTGCCACTAAGCAACATAACTTTGTTATCCTCGGTAGATTGTAATCATTGTTGAAAAGAGTATATATTATTGGCACAATTAATAATATTACATGCACACAGACCAAGAAGCGTAGAATTTTAAAACGTATCACTTGAAATCTAGTAGCACTCTTCAGTAGTGGAAATGAAAAGCATAATGCTACCATTATTTTCGTGAACCTGACTGCGGTTTCCGGGGTTACTTTGCTTGCCATAATTACGTCAAAACTTATCAATATGATAATAGTGAAATCTATATTCTTTCTCGATTGTTTCTCGCATTATATCGTCTCTGACAAAGCTACAAGCTTTCGTCGGTTCATAACACATACATATTTAATGTCTAAAAGCATAGCTCGATACACGTAATTTATATATACGCAGTATTGCAAGAGAAAAATATTTTACATGTAACATGTATACTGGATTGCCCGATTATGTTTTATAGGTGCTGCGAATAATAAATTTATAACGGTGATTTCTCACGAAAGAATAGTGCAATTTATCAAAAGTAATGTATAATATAGGAAAAAAATATAGAAGGATTTTTTTTCTACAGGCGTAATAAGTTTCTTTACACGATAATCATGAACTATCTGTAATATTCTATAATGTTCAATTTTATTTCGGAAACTAAAGAACGAAAATCATTTATAACACAAACAATATTTATGATATTGTAGATACATCGTCACTTCGTGAAGACACGCGAAAACATCAACAAAATCTTTTCAGTGTAATAATAGTTGAAATTTTATAAATACACGATCGCGTTCTTACTTTCTGCGATTGTATAAAAATTGTATTTTTCGTGAAAAAGTGTAATACAAAGAAACAGAAAAATATCGGTGACAAGTATGGAAAAACAAGTGATTAATATAAAGAACAAATGCGTGCGTCCAGGGAAGTGCGTCCAGGGGAAAAAAACCCCTTATTTTTTAAAACTATTTTTCAAAAATTAAAGTGTGTGCAGATCTTATCAAAATAATAAAAAAGTATATATAAATATATCCAAAAATACATAGTTTGCAGGTGTAAGCTAAACTATTCTACATCACAATATTATCAATATCTTATCTCAAAATTATTTAAAAAATCCAAATTTTATTTTATTATACACAAGAATTTTATGACAAAATATATATTCTCCAGTGGCAAAAATTTGAGGCTATCGGTAATTTTTATCATAAGAACACGTCGCTCTGGCTTTTCACTTAGATTTTTGACTTTTTGCTTTTTACTTAAATTCTTGACTTTTAGCTTTTCATATTCTATTTATGCAGTGACGAAAGACTTATAATAATTTAAAACTTGTATGAGATTTTTTATCGAGAGACGATGCGCAATTACTTTTTGAGCATTTCCGCATTTCTTTTCTAGTAGCACTGATTACGACCACATATTGATGTACATAAGATAGTTTTTAGCAGTTGATAATACACAATGAACGGATATTTAAGTGAGATAACAAACGGTTGATCCGTTCCGCGATCGGTGTTACAATTACAATTGCTACCCCAATAAAGTAGCAAATTAATTAAAATGTGTATTATAGAATATATTTATAATATACTATCTCTCTCTTGCCAATATATTATTGAATAATCACATCTTCGTGTGGCTTGATCACTGTGGTATTTATTGATATATGTTATGGCAATATATTAGATATATCAACTTCGCGTACATGTAAACATTTTATTTTTACTAAATATAATAAAACTAAAAATACGTATTATTAATATCAAAGATAGATAGAATGTATTGCTATATTTCATAAATAATATCTAAATCTATAATAAGAACAACTCTATCTATAATAATTATAAAATTAAACAACAATATAATTTGCTAATCCAGAAATTTATATTTATATAAGAAAATTTATGTGACATAATATGTGTAGGGAGAGATTTTTCTTCATGTATACATCAATTACTACTATGATTATATTAATTCTATGCAATGTTTACTTTTACTCTTCTTCATTTAGAAATGCTCGAAATGTTGTGAAAAAAGAAATTATGGTCGAGCAGTACTGGAACATATAAGGACAAATATAGCTAAGTTTTCATTGTGCCAAGAAAAGATTATTGATAATACATAAAAATTTACATATATTTTTATATCTTTATAATTATAGTTTATGTTAGTCAAATATGTTTAAAATCTGTTAATAAAATGTCACTAAATATTGAAACTGTGTATGACGATAGCTAAATAACTGATGCGATCGATATAATAGCAATTTAATCAATTCAATCAATTCGAAATCCTTCTTACCGATGCAAAGTAATTAAGAGATAACGTGGGCATAACACAAGGTATTGCAATCGTTACTGGTTTTTGACTCCTTTGCATGATAATTTGTATACAGTTTCGTATTTCAATTGATTGATCGTACCAAGACATATCAAACGCTGCCTGTCCGACGTCTTGACTCTGGAAAAAATAGCATGAATGAAATTATTTATAATAATTTTTTAGTGATAAGTTAACTTACCATGTAAATTAAATTTTCTGCTGGCCATGTATACATAAATACTTCTGATAAACCGCTCACAACTAAACCGAAACATTTCAATACCAATATCATAGATCGATTCTGTTTAAAAAATTTGATAAAGTAGATGAAATTTGATATATCTTTATGTATGTTGTTTACATTAAAATTTGTTGACTTATTAATTGTGTGTGTGTGTGTGTGAATTATATTCCTTATATGTATAAATAAATTATAGCTATATCTATTTAGTTAAACAGTTATATAATTCTTTAGATGTTAACGACATTAAATGACAATAGAGAGCTTATAGAAGCAATAAAAGTTTAAGAACAAAAAATTGCTGCAACTATTTGCTCCTAAATTATTCATAAAAATAGATAAATACAATATTTTTATGATATATAATTTAATTTTTTATTTTATAATGTAACTTAAGTGAGATTGAAATGTTTCCATGTAAAAAAAATAATTTGTTTGGAAGAAAAAAGCTTATAAAAGAATGACTATTTCTGATATGACATGTACTTACGGTAAGAAGCAAAAGACAGAGTATTACCATGCAAATTGTACTACAACATACAGTCGTTAGTGCGAAAGGACGAGCAGCAAGAACAGCTTCATTTGCATACCTAAATAAATTTATTAAGCATTTAAAATTTATATTATTTAAATGTTTTTCAAATCACACAATATATGCAATAATATGATTTTTGATATATCGCATTCATACAAAGACTTTCTGATATGCGATATTTTTTTATTTTTATTCATAAAATAATGTAAATTAACTATATTGTTGGTCGTTCAAACGATCACATACGTTTCTTAAATATTACAGAGAAATTTGAGCGCTATGTGTAAGTGTAGCGGGACGCATTAATGTTTGCGATTGTAAAAATATAAAGTGGGCGATATTCACTTGAGTAAGTGCTGATGTTTTCTAATACATTTGGCCAAATGGTAAATATCTGTGGTTTTTCGCAACTCTTCAGTCAATATCTCAAATCTTGCCGATGCAAACCAAAGTAAAAGAGCCATGAAAACATTGGAACATAGTTGCCCTGATACGTGTATTCCGACTATAACTTGATGTATATAGAGAATAGTTCTTAACGGCTGATGATGTGCGTCAAATGGATATTCGATTAATAATGGAAACGGTTGATCCATTACAAAGGGTAGGATAATCACTACTACCGAAGCCAAATAGAAAGTTATTAGAGATGCACCATACAATATGATACATTTGTCAATGTATCGTTGAATAATTATGTCTTCGTGTGGCTTAATCAATTCAGAAAAATCTATCATTTCGAAAGTGACATACTGCAAATAGTTGTACATTATTGATATAAAAGAGTATAGTAGTAAAACGTGATTTCTTAAATAATTTGCATCTGAGTTTTTCGATATTAAATGCACACATAGATAGCAATTACTTGTATACGGTGTTCATAAAGTATGCGAGAGATGAAATTTCCAATACTGTGAGTAAACGCGCTCATTCCAATAATTAAGTCTACTAAAACTAAAAAGTCGTCAAGATGATTTGTCATAGTATATATCACTGGTAGTTGTAAGCATATTGCCAGAATAATGCAAAAATATTGATATAGTTTCACACAGGTCATTCTCAATCTTGTCGCGTCTTTTGATTGCGGCCAACACAAAACTGGAAACAAACTTAACTTTACAAAAAAAAATATTTTTTTTAGCATCATTTGTCCTCGCATGACTACAATGTCCTTTGTATCTTATATATTTGTATGAAATTGCAAAAATTAATTATTATTTGAAATAGACACTTTCCCAGAAAGATCGTTATGGATGGTCGAAGGACCTGCAAAGATATTGCGATAAACAGATATATAGCCAATAGAAAATTGATATATGCGTATGTTACATATTCTTGCACATTTCTGTTTCGCATACTTCTAGAATACATCGATAAAATTACTATGCAATGAAAAATGGTGCTGTGCGTTTAGATTTAACAAATAAAAGCTTTCTGCAGCAATGGTCAATAAAATATAAATACAGAATAATAAACAAATTGTAATTTTGCTACCGTATCTAGAGGGTATATTATTTGCATATCCTAAATATCATACGGAAACGAAACCATAAATTATTATAAATTATCTATCACTTTTCTTTAGGTGTTTCAGGTGTTTTTCTTCACCTTTATTGTAGGTATTGCAATAGGGCGTTTCTGCTTATAAGTGCCATAAGGCGTTCTCGCTTATACCTGAGCGTGCACTATCCTTCCCTTATATTTTCTCTTATATATTTTATAAATCGATACACAACACCTCATGTGAAACGGACATGTGTAGGATGCAAAGTGTGTTGCACTGATCGACATGCAGTATTTCAAAGAATCGAGTTTTCTTTATAAATGTATTCGTATGTTGCTACGCATTCTGAGAAGAGGAAAACTTGTAATTCTATAGATAAGTGGAACATTATAATAGACTAGGAGTGTTTAAAAAACTATTATGGAGTGATATCTATCAAATATTAAAAAAAGATGGTGTGTTTTTTAAAAATTGTCAAAAATTAAATATAGATCTTATTATACATACAACATAAGCAGATTTCATTTAGTTAGTGAATGTAAATATTCTTATTAATTTATTAGATTTATTGATTTTTATTTTTTATCAATTTTGGTTTGTGCTTAATTGTGTTATATATAATATACACAATGCTTGCAAAGAACAAAATGGAATTATTTATATTGTTATATAATTTTCAGTGTTACATTTACATATTCAACAAGATGAAAAACATATTTAATACTTATAAGTATGAGAACGATTATTACAAATTTAATCAGAAAAGTAATAGTATGACATTTTCGTTTTTACAGCATCATAATTTTATAAAAGAACATATTGGCAAATTTTTATTTTGCCCAGGCATGCTACCAGTAAGATGGATGTCGCCAGAATCGCTGGCACTAGTATCTTCACGCCAGCATCCGATGTCTGGTCTTACGGAGTAATGCTCTACGAGATTGTTACATTCGACAGTTTCCGTTTTCAAGGGATGAGCAACAATGAAGTACTCTCGCGTGTGAAGGCTGGCAATTGTCTCACCGTGCCGAAAAAGATGAAAATGCAGCTGTAAGTGATTATAACGATTAGTTTGACGATTGTAGCATCTTGTTTAGCGATCCTTCTGCTATATTTTATATTTCTATATTCTATATATCTATATTTTTATATTTATAGCGAGAGTTTAATGTATTCCTGTTGGAGTGTGGACCACACGAAGAGACCATCGGCGCCGGAAATTGTTGACTTTTTGGCGACGAATCCTCGCATCATCTCGCCGTGTCTGGATGTACCTCTGTCGAGTGTGCAACTGGAGCACACCGCGCAACTTGACATACAACTATCGGAGAATAACCGAAAGTTCTCCATTTCGTGGCCATCGCAGCTTTCAGTCCCGCAAACTCAAGAATTGAAATCCCCGAATTCGCCAACGCCGCTTTTACTGGACTTGAACGACCAGGATGACGATCAGAATTTGGATTCTCTACTAATTGGCATATCCTGCGAACAAGATATATGATATATAATTGCATTTATTTCAGATTTGCTCCGTAATATAATCATTTTTCTATAATTGTTTATAAGGGATTATTGAAACATTTTATAATTTAGCTACGATTTTATAAATACAAAAAAAATATATAAAAGAGAAATTAAAAAAAAAGTTTTAAAAAATAGCAATATATTATAAAAAAATTAACATGTATAGCCATATATATTATATTTTGCTCCTTTTACATGACAACGCAAATATCTTCTGTAACATGTAGGATAGCTTCATCCAGGCTAATGGGCTTAAAAATCAAGCAGAACAGTATAGTATTAACTTAGCTATAAAATATAACGTTAAAAGAAAAGCGATTTTTTTTTTGACAAATTATACCAATTATTATTTTGACAATTATGTTAATAAAATCATGTTAAATTGAAAGAAAAGCAATGAGGTATCTATTTTTAAGCCTACGTTCCTTTTTCTATCGAAATAGTTTTCGGAATATCATCAGCAGTTAAATATATAAATGATTTTAGCAGTCCATTGTTTACGCGAGCACGTATCGCCAGCCCCAGTTTTTCTCCTAGCTTCTCTAAATCGAGATGAAGATAACATCGTATGCGCCGGCGAACAGAGGCTGCGGGAGGTCCGCCCGCTCTTTCGTAACAGGTCTTATAGTGTATTCCTACCTGTTCCGATTGTTTTTAGGAGACCGGTCATTATAATAATCCGGTAGAGGCTCGTATTATATGTCGATGGGTATCAACGGGCGTCTTTTTTCGATGAGTACGGTTATTAAATAATTTAGAAACAGTGAGTTGCTATAACGCTACAATATAATTATATCTTTGTAAATGCAAATTCGAGACATAGATAATTGAGTTAAACTGTGGAAATTTTAAAGAGATATAATATATTTCAATAAGCTCTTTATACCACACTTTTGTCCAAGAAAAAATTCTTTCAAGATTATTGCACTACAAACATATAAATGAGATTGTACTGAGTTGTCATGTCCCTTTTTGATCGAGAATGATATATAAAGCAAAACATAATTCTTAATTTTTCATTTTTCATTGTGAGGAAATTTTTGATGTCCTTGGCGATCGTGAAATGATAATTTGTTCTGTGAACTGGTTTTTGCTGAAGTACGTAGATTAGGGAAATTTTCAACCGGTGTAATTGATTTAATATAGAATTAATATTATATATAACTGAAGAACTTCTACAACCGGAAAGTACGATTTGCGGTTGTGTTGTCATGGTTCGCCGCTATGAGCAATGAAGATTATTAATTCTCCGCAATATGCACGTGACGTAACCATAGACTCATAGAGATAGACTGCGCGTCCCTGTCGAAAGACTGTCTTAAACATTAGAAAGAGAGAGCGATAGTGGTCGGATCTCTTTCTCTCTTGCACAGTTGAAGGAGAGGGGATATCGCGGCTGGCGGAGAATGAACAGTTTGCGAGTATATGCGCATTTTCCTCGCCTCTCCGTTCATTCTCCGCCCACAGACTTATAGAGAGACAGACTGCGCGCTCTTACGGTGGTTGTCTTAAACATTGAAGGACAGAGATATAGTGGTCAGATCTCTTTCTCTCTCGCACAGTTGAAGGAGAGGGGATATCGCGGCTGGCGGAGAATAAACGGAGAGGCGAGGAAATGCGTATATACTCGCAGTCTCGCTCTCCTACAATTCTCCCCATCACGTAGCCGATTAGAAAGAGAAAGAGATTCGACCACTATCGCTCTCTCTTTCTAATGTTTAAGACAGCCTTTCGACAGGGACGCGCAGTCTATCTCTATAAGTCTATGGACGTAACGCGTTGTCGTTGTCTAGTGTCTAACAGGTCTTAACACGGTATTAGCACGTGACCATTGTGTCACGATTAAGCGTCAACTGTTTCTGATTGCGGTCTGGCAATAATCTCTTCATTCGATGACATTTTGCTGTCAGCAAATCCTTCGGATTTTGCCTTCCGACTAACTAATTAATATATTGAATCTATTGTCCTGGTTTATCTCTCTCCAATTTAATCTAATCTGGACATACATAAATATTTTCGAATACAATATAAATGCAACATATATGTATCTCTAACGACATCAGAGAGTAGAATATTATTTGTAAAATAGTTTGTAAAAAATTCTTTAAGGAAAGTTTATATACATATAATTAAAAATTTTATATTTTAGTTCTCGTGTGCAAAAGTTTTTTCCTCACTTCTTTTAAAAGGAGTAAATTTTCTGAAATGAATACTCTCCAATTTAATCTAATCTGGACATACATAATTATTTTCGAATACGATATAAATGCAACATATATGTATCTCTAACGACATCAGAGAGTAGAATATTATTTGTAAAATAGTTTGTAAAAAATTCTTTAAGGAAAGTTTATATACATATAATTAAAAATTTTATATTTTAGTTCTCGTGTGCAAAAGTTTTTTCCTCACTTCTTTTAAAAGGAGTAAATTTTCTGAAATGAATATTCCCGAAGGGATAAAGAAAAATATGGACATTAATTTTTACTTAGAATATATATATAAATGACTCTCTAAACATGGTTATTATACGTTTATTGTTAGCATGGAAAATAAACGAGATGACGTGCAATGACCGGAAAATGATTAAGAGATATCAATGCATGTACTTAAAGCTTAACGCGTATCTATCATCGAGTATACATTGATCTCCCGCCTCTTTTCTTCGTATCAAAAGAGAAAATCGACACGTTGACTTGCACGTAACGCATTCTTACGTAAGAATGGCGAACGTTCATGGTTATCTGATTGTTCTCCATAGTGCTGGTCAGAAGTTTCTCGAAAGTTATGTGACCGTTATTACAATAAAATTTTAGTGAGAGAGAAGATATTTATATTTACATATTTTAATTGATTATGATTCATGACAGTGACAAAAAGATAAATAAATGATAATCGAATATAACAAATAAATTTACTCGCACACAAACAGATGTTCGTAAGCATCAAAAGCATTATCGTTGTCAGTCATTTCGCTTTGGCAGCACATAGATTCAAATTAATCACAAGAATCACATCTAATCGATTTGGATCGCGTAAGTTAACGATACGAATACGTAACGAAAAAAATAATCGCTCGCAACTTAGTACGACATTCCCGATACTCGACAAGACTAGTTTTTGGCGGGAGA